TATGTATTTTTTGGTTTATTTGTTTTTTGTTATATTATATTGTAGATGTTTTAATCATCTAAAATTACTTATTGTGAGTCTTATTATAATGTATCTTTCACAGTTCTATTCCTTTAAAGTATTTAGTCTTACTTGTAAGGCTGTTTTTGAAACTATTATTTTAGTTTTATTTTTCTCTTAGTAACATTTGTTTTATTTTATGGTATTTTTAGGTTAGTATTTCTTATTTCAAAGCTTGCATATGGATGCACATTGTTTGGGCCTTCTGTCAGGCCCTGAGAACCTTCTAGAAATCCATTTCCCACCCCATGTGCCCCTCCAGGGCTGGAATTCCCTTGGAGCTCCTTCCCTGGCAGAGCCCAGCCCGGAGGCAGCGCCGAGGGGATTGAATTCCAAGCACACTGAAATTATTATGCAAATATTTGGAAATCATCAACTCCCTCCCTCACCAGCAGAGCTGAGCGAGGCGTTGCCGTGGCAACAGCCACTCTCAACCACCAGAGCTCCCATTGGGATTCTGAGGGTGTCCCGGGAGCCCCAGAGCATCCAGGACAGGCTGGATGGGAGAGGAGAAGGCTCCTGAGGAAAGGCCAAGATGCAAGTTCCACAAAGATCAGAGTTCTCAGCTCTGAGGGCAAGCAGCCCCACCTGGGCCCGTGAGAACACGGCCAAGGCTCCTGGGAATGAGCCCAGGAGATTCTCCTTCATCCCCTCAGCAAATCAAAGCCCTGCTCATGGAGTTTTTCCTTGAATCCTGTAAAATTCCAGGTTTAAAGACACCTCAATAACTCCCAGGGCAATCCAAGCCCAGAATGCCAGCCCAGGTCCAGACCCAGGAGAATCCAGAATCAACCCAGGGACAGGAGAATCGAAAATCAGCCCAGGGACAGCCGAATCCAAAATCAGCCCAGGGACAGGAGAATCCAGAATCAACCCAGGGATATGAGAATCCAAAATCAGCCCAGGGACAGGAGAATCCAAAATCAGCCCAGGGACAGGAGAATCCAAAGTCAAGCCAGGTACAGGGATATGAGAATCCAGAATTAGCTCAGGGACAGCAGAATCCAAAATCAACCCAGGGACAGCAGAATCCAAAATCAAGATGGGTCCAGGGACACGAGAATCCAAAATCAATCCTGTGCCACCCTCCCAGTGACAACAGAGACAGGAGCTCAGTGGGAAGGGAAAACCCTCTGAATTGTTATAAATTTGAAATTAAGGTCCAGGAGAATCCAGAATCCACCCACGGACAGGAGAATCCAACGCAACCCAGGTCCAGGAGAACCCAAAATCAACCCAGGGACAGGGACAGGAGAATCCAAAATCAACCCAAGTCCAGGGATATGAGAATCCAAAATCAACCCAGGGACAGCAGAATCCAAAATCAAGCCGGGTCCAGGAGAATCCAAAATCTACCCAGGGATAGGAGAGTCCAGAATCAACCCAGGGACATGAGAATCCAAAATCAACCCTGTGCCATCCTCCCAGTGACAACGGAGACAGGAGCTCAGTGGGAAGGGAAAACCCTCTGAATTGTTATAAATGTGAAATTAAGGTCCAGGAGAATCCAAAATCAACCCAGGAACAGGAGAATCCAACACAACCCAGGTCCAGGGATATGAGAATCCAACTCTAAACCAGCTCCAGGCACATGAGACTTCCTCCTTGAGCCTCTGATCTTGAGCTGAGTCTAAGTTTCAGCTCAGCCTGGTGGGATGAGCAGTGATGGGGCAGGAGGGCACCAGGGAATGTTGAACTTCACAGGATCCTCCACAAAGTCAGCTCTGAACACCAAAGACACCCCAAGCCCCAGGATTTTTGACCAAAATGAACACTTGGGGCTGTTTTTTCTCCCTCAGGCTCAAGGCCCCCAGCCAGGACAGGTTTCCAGTGCCTGTGGCACACCCAGGGCTCAGGAGCTGTCTGAAGGAGGGAGCAGAGCAGCAGCTGCCATCCCCAATCCCCTCTGGATGGAGCCGATGCCAACGGGTGTGGAGGCACCTCCTTCCTCCCTCAGCTTTTTCCCTCCCAATTTTTATCCTCACTTATTTATTATTCCTTTATTTTTTTTTGCCTCCTGTGCAATGTGATGCTGATTTATCTCCTTTAGACTGATACACCTTTCCCAGAATCCCAGGATGGAAAAGCCCAGCACGTTCCCAGTGCATTCCCAGCAGAATCCAACACAAGCCAGGTCAGCAGAACCTCCTACAGGTTCTCCAAAGGACAGCACCAAAAAGGCACCAAAGTGGGAATGGTGGGACACCAGGGCTGGGTCTCCTTGGAGAAACCCACAGGGGCCCTGCACCGTGAGAAAAGGCTGGGAAAGCTGGGAATGTTCACCTGGAGAAGCTCCAGGGAGAGCTCAGAGCCCCTTGCAGGGCCTAAAGGGGCTCCAGGAGAGCTGGAGAGGGACTGGGGACAAGGCATGGAGGGACAGGACACAGGGAATGGCTCCCACTGCCAGAGGGCAGGGCTGGATGGGAGATTGGGAAATCCTGTGAGGATGAGGAGGCCCTGGAATAGAATTCCCAGAGCAGCTGGGGCTGCCCCTGGATCCCTGGCAGTGCCCAAGCCAGGTTGGACATTGGGGCTTGGAGCAGCCTGGGCCAGTGGAAGGTGTCCCTGCCATGGCAGGGGTGAAACTGATAAATTTTTAAGGTTCCTTCCAGCCCAAACCATCCTGGGATTCCATTATATGAGAACCCACTGGGGCTAAACACAAATCTCCAGGTGTTCACCAGCTCTGGGATGTCCCCAAGCCATCCCCGGGGTGATTCCTGTCCCCCCAGGTCCCTCAGGGCAGCTCTGCCTCCCTTGGGGGATCTCTCCCTGTGGGAGATGAAGCCCTGAAGTGGAGATTGCACCTCGTGTTCCCACCCCCACAGTGAGCCTGTTTTACCTTTAAAAGGACAAGAGCTCAAACCAATCCCCCAGTGAGGAATGATTATCCCAAATCTGTGTTGTCCCCCTCACCTGGGCCAGCCCAGCTGATCTGGGACAGGAGCTGAAATCTGGGAGCAAAGCTCCTCTGAAAGCCTGGAGTGGCTGGTGGGCACACAGCTTCATGTTTGGGGAGTCAAACCCCCCACAGGGAAAAGGGAACTGGGAGCCAACAGAGCCAAATCCCCTCTCTGCTCCAGCAGGGCTGTGACAGCCATGGTGACACCGACCTGCAGTGCAGGGATCCCCTCCTTTCCCTTCCCTGACCCCCAAAATCACCACAGCTCCTCCTGGAAGAGTGTCCCCACAGGGCCCTGCCACACAAACACAGCTCCTGGCAAGTTCTCCAGCAGCTTTTTGGGATGATTGGTTTAAAATGCCACTGTGGGGTCATGAAAGCTGCAGCCACCACTGCTGGGCACTGCTGTGCCCGGGTGGCCCTGGTGGCACTGTCCCCATCCTGTCCCCCACGCTCCTGCCCATCGTTTCTGCAGCAGCATTGAAGGATCCATGATCCATTGAAGGATCCATGATCCACTGAAGAATCCATGATCCATTGAAGGATCCATGATCCACTGAAGAATCCATGATCCAATGAAGGATCCATGATCCACTGAAGGATCCATGATCCATTGAAGGATCCATTAAAGGATCCATGATCCATTGAAGGATCCATGATCCACTGAAGGATCCATGATCCAATGAAGGATCCATTGAAGGATCCATGATCCACTGAAGGATCCATGATCCATTAAAGGATCCATGATCCATTGAAGGAACCAGTGCTCCCCACAACTGCACATCCACTCCAGGAGCTGCATCCCCATCCACAGGCCCTGGGGACATCCCACAGCCCAGCTCTCCCGGTCAGCACCTCCTGCTCCAGCACCTCCAGAGATGCTCAGCTCAGCCAGGTTCATTCCTACACAGATTCCATCCACCCCAAATGCTCCAAAGCCAAGGAACCCAGTCCCTGCTCCACCCACACAGCACCAACCCAGCAAACACAACTCAAAGCAGCAAATATTCCCAAATTCTATGGAGAAGGAAAACCCAGAGAGCAGCTGGAGTCCACCTTGAACACAGCCTCCCAAAAATGCCTTTCCAGGGAAGAGGGATGTGCTGGAGCCCCTGAAGGTGTCTCCACACTCCTGTCACCCACAAATGCCACCCTTGCCCAGGACAGGCAGTGCCATTCCTGCCTGGCATCCCAAACCTTGGGGCTGGGACATCCAAGCCCAGCACTCCCCAAAATGCTGCTCCCAAGGGGCCACCACAAACCCTGGGGAGAAAAGTGACACATCCTGGACTGAGCAGGATCCCGCTCCCAGAGCTGGTTTTGGGATGGGATGGGATCCATGGGATGGGGTGGGACGGGGTAGGATGGGATGGGGTGGGATGGAGTAGGATGGGATGGGGTGGGATGGGATGGGGTGGGGTGGGATCCATGGGGTGGGGTGGGATGGGATCCATGGGATGGGGGGGGATGGGATGGGATGGTATCCATGGGATGGGATGGGATCCATGGGATGGGATGGGATCCATGGGATGGGATGGGATGGGATCCATGGGATGGGGTGGGATGGGATGGGATGGTATCCATGGGATGGGATGGGATGGGATCCATGGGATGGGGTGGGATGGGATGGGATGGGATGGTATCCATGGGATGGGATGGGATCCATGGGATGGGATGGGATCCATGGGATGGGATGGGATGGCACAGGACAGGATGGAGGGATGGGACAGGACAGGGTGAGATGGACAGGAGAGGCTGATGGGGTGGGACATGAATGTCAATGTGACAATGCAGATGAGACAAGATGGGACAAATAGGACTGGACAGGAGGGGGTGGAGCAGACTGGACAGGATGGGAGAGGGTGGGCAGGGACAAGATGAGGCAGACGGGATGGGACAGAGCAGATGGGATGGGGTGGAACAAACAAGATGGGATGGGATGGGATGGGATGGGATGGGATGGGATGGGATGGGATGGGATGGGATGGGATGGGATGGTTTTTTCAAGGAAATCACCCAAGGAGGAGGAAGCTCTTACCTGTTTCTCCCCAGATGGGCAGATACTCATCCTGCTGGATGTCCAGCATGATTTCCAGGCCGTTCCCTGTCCCCCCCTTCACTGTGGTGAGGAGAGGCCGCCCCTCCTCTCCTGAGTTAAACATGTAGCATTTCCCATATTTTGTAAACACCTGTGGGGAAAAAAGAGAGGAATTAGGGAATATTTCCCACTGAATTAACCCTCATTCCCAACTGGCATAGGGATGGGAAACAGCCACAAGCTGCATGTCTGGGGGAAATATCCACATAAATATCCCCATAAATATCCACAGAAATATCCTCAGAAATCCATCCAGGTTTAATCATTTGTTTAATCATTGTGCTTTCCTTATGGAAAGTAAAAGAGGGAAGGGAGGGAGGAAAAGCTGTTTGGAGGGAAAGCTCAAAAGCTCCCAGAGTCGTTCCAGTCAGTCCAAGCTCTAACAGACACACTCTGGCCTTAAGCTCCTGCTAAAAATTCACACAATTCCCTGGTTTTGGGTGGAGTCTCAGCCCTTTTAGGCCATGGCAATGCTCTCCTGGCATTAAAAATCCAATATCCCCTTCATTCCTCCCTCTGCCACTGCTTGGAAAATAGGATGAGTTAAAAACACTTGAGGAAATGAGGAAAGATTTCCTCCATCATTCTGCTCTTCTTCACTCTTATTTGGGGAGGATTCCTGATAGAAACTCCTGGCAAAGCCCAGGTGGAACTTCCAGGCACCAGCACTACAAAGCAGGGGGGACATCAGTGCAGGGTGGACATGGGGCTCCAGGAGGGATCTGTGGAACACAGGTTTTCCAGTGGCAGAACATGGGTTTTCCAGAGGGAAAACAGCGGTTTTGCAGTATTCTGGAAACCTACTGGAGAACACAGGTTACCCAGTGGGAGAACATGGGTTTTCCAGAGGGAGAACAGGGGTTTCCAGTGTTCTGGAAACCCACTGGAGAACACAGTTTTTCCAGTGGAAGAACATGAGTTTTCCAGATGGAGAACACAGTTTTTTCCAGTGGTAGAACATGGGTTTTCCAGGGGGATGGACACAGGGTTCCAGGTGCAGGACATGTGGGCTTCCAAGGGAGGGAACACAGCTTTTCCAGGGATCACACAGTGTTTCTGAGGGGAGCAAACACAGGTTTCCATGTGGGATGGACACAGGATTGGTTCCAGGTGGGATGGACACATTTCCAGGTGGAGTGCACATGGATTTCCAAGAGGGAGGGACACTGGTTTCCAAGTGGGATGGACATGTGAAGAACACAGGTTTCCCAACAGGGTGGACACATGTTTCCAAGCAGAGTAAACATGGGTTTCCCAGTGGGATAACACAGATTTCCCAGTAGGATAAAACACAGATTTCCCAGTAGGATAAAACACAGATTTCCCATGGGATAAGGCAGATTTACAGGTGGGATAACACAGAATCCCAGTGGGGTAACACAGATTTCCCAGTAGGATAAAACACAGAATTCCCAGGGAGTAAAACACAGAATTCCCAGTGGGAACCCAAAGCTCGTGGTGGCAGCAGAGCTGTCACCTTTGCTGCTGGTGACACTCAGGGCTCGGGCTCAGCTCAGGATCCCCCTGGAACTGGAAAACTCCCAGAAATCCCAGATTTAACTCCAACCAATCCCCCTCACCCTGCACTGACAGCCTGGGGACATCCAGAACTCTTCCTGGGATAAAGGCTCCAGAAAGCCCAGTAACAACCATTTAAACCAATAACAACCATTTAAACCAGTAACAACCAGTTAAACCAATAACAACCATTTAAACCAGTAACAACCATTTAAACCAATAACAACCAGTTAAACCAGTAACGACCAGTTAAACCAACAACAACCATTTAAACCAATAACAACCAGTTAAACCAGTAACAACCAGTTAAACCAGTAACAACCAGTTAAGCCCAGTAAGAACCAGTTTGGGAACCAGTAAGAAGCAGTAAAGCCCAGCACTGAGCACTTGGAGCATGGGAGCCAGAGCAGAGCTGCTCCAGTCCCTCCGGAATCTCTCCCACATTTGCTGAGCTCATTTGACCCCAAGATGAGTCAGAAACCCAAACAGAAGCTGGAGCCAGCAGAGATTTATTCCCTCAAATATTGACATATCCTGACTAATCCAAGTGCCAGGGAAGCAGGTGGGATGGGAGAGAAAGGAAATAATATTTGAATTCAAATAGAAAGTGTTTGTGAGGGGAAAAAACAATACATGCTTTAAAAAGGATTTGATATCCAAATAAAAATAATCCCATTTGAATACTTGCCTGACTGATTAAACAGCTCAGGCTGGAAAGAGAAGCTCAGCCTCTGGAAGCAGCCCCATGGATGGGGTTCCCCAGATAGGCTCTGAAGGCAGAAGTCAAAAATTCCTAATGAGGGGAGTTTAAAATACAGCAAGGAGGAAAAGCTGCAGTGGAGAAAATCAAGGGGAAACAACAAGGCTGGAATGGGAACAACAGCCCAGGGATTGATTTTGGAGTCTGCAGGCAAATAAATCCAGGCAGCTTGATGGGGTGGTTTTATATGACTGTAAAGATTCCCTGTAAAAGCTCCTGTTAGGATGTGTTTATCCAAGGAAAAGATGGAACCTGACAGGGGCAGCAGGGCTGGAATCACAACCCCAGGGAAAGGGACCTCCTGGGGACTGGGAAAGGACAACCATGGGACCTCTCAGCCACAGGGATTCCTGTCGTTCCCAAAGACACAAAACATTATTCCTAATGGCCTTTAAAGATATTTCTAAGTTCAAAAATCCACATGCACTCATTCCAACTCCCAGTAAAGGGACTGTGGTGTTCCAGGATCAATGGAGTCATGGAATGGTTTGGATTTGGATCTTAAGGGTCACCCAGTGCCATGGGCAGGGACACCTCCCACTGTCCAGGCTGCTTCAGCCTAGCCTTGGGCACTTCCAGGGATCCAGAGGCAGCCACAGCTGCTCTGGGAATTCCATTCCATTCCATTCCATTCCATTCCATTCCATTCCATTCCATTCCATTCCACCCCTCTTGTATTTGTGGGACCCCTGACCACGGGAGGAATGATGAATCTGACTCCATGTTCTCAGAAGGCTAATTTATAATTTTGTGATCTATATTATATTAAAGAATACTATACTAAACTATACTAAAGAATACAGAAAGGATACAGACAGAATGCTAAAAACGTAATAATGAAAACTCGTGACTCTTTCCAGAGTCCTGACACAGCCTGGCTGTGATTGGTCATTGAGTCAAAAACAACTCCCAGCAGAATGCAATGGAACAATCACCTGTGGGTAAACAATCTCCAAACACATTCCACATGAGCACAGCACAGGAGAAGCAAATGAGATCAGAATTGTTTTCCTTTTCTCTGAGGCTTCTCAGCTTCCCAGGAGAAAAATCCTGGGTGAAGGGATTTTTTCCAGAAAATGTGACAGTGACATTCTGTAGCCATGATATTTTATGAAAAATCTTTTCCTTAGGGTTTTTTCTCCTGAGAAGCTGAGAGGCCTCAGGAACAAAATGTAACCAATGGTTATCTGCTGCTGTGGAATGCAACAGGTGCATCTGGGATTGGGCTCATGTGGTTGTTTCTAATTAATGGCCAATCACAGTCAGCTGGCTCGGACTCTCTGTCTGAGACACAGGCCTTTGTTATCATTCCTTCTTTTGCTATTCTTAGCCAGCCTTCTGATGAAATCCTTTCTTCTCTTCTTTTAGTATAGTTTTAATGTAATATATATCATAAAATAATAAATCAGCCTTGTGAAACATGGAGTCAGATCCTCGTCTCTTCCCTCACCCCTGGACCCCTTTGAACACTGTCACATTACTCCCCAACCTCCAGGGAGGAATTCCTCCAGGATTGCTCCCCAGTGTCCCATCCATCCCTGCCCTCTTGGAATCCATTCCCTGTGTCCTGCCCCTCTCCTGTTCCCTCAGCCCCTCCTGAGGATTTTCCTCCCCCTCTCCCCTTTGCTGGGAGTGATTATCTGGGAAAATCCAACATTGTTTTTCCAGAGTCTTCTCTTGTTTCCAGGCTCCCTGACAACAGGAAAGGACTCATTATCAGATCATCAGGATAAACCCTGGAGCTGTTGGGAAGGGCTGGGATTCACTGGAGGCAGCAAACACGAGCAGAGCAGGATGACTTAAGCTCAATTTGTGTGGCTGAGGGGGAAAAAAACCCTCCTGGCTCTTGGAAATGCTTTAACTTCAATAAAAAGGGCCAGAAACAAAATTCCAGACACGTTCCCTGAGAGTAGTCCATAAAAATTCCAATTTGTTCCCTCTGAAGGAGCACGGGGCCTTTGACAGCTCCTTGGAAAATCCCTGCTTGGGCATAAAGGGAAATAATTCTAAATCTGTGGAATGGGATTTGATGGGATCGTTTAGGTCAGGAAAAGCCTTTGAGAGGATGGAGTCCAACCCATGAACTGCCTTGGAGTGACTTCCTGAGCCCTTCCTTAGCCAAGGGAAGCCCATTTTGGGAAGTTAAAACTCAGAGCAGGGGTATCCCAAACAGATTCCAGCACAAACCAGACACCACCACCACCAAAGGCTCCAAGAAAGCCCTGGATAAACAAATCCTGCTTCCTGTTGTGAAAAATGCATGTATTTTATGATTGGCTTTTTGCAAATATTCAAATGAATATTATATGTGTTGTGTTAGAAAGTTATGCTGTATTAATTCTCTTAAGTAGTGTGTTAAATATAGTTTTAGGTTATAAAAATTGTTAAAATAGAAACGATGCTATGTAAGATACTTTTTTTAAAAGAAAGGACTCGCAGCGAGATAGCACCCACAGGACACCTGAATCTTTCAGAGAAGAAGAATTTATTGCCCTCTTATCAGAAGAAATGAACTTCTTCCCACCTCAAAGGCGCTGTCAGGATTCAGAGGAAGAAGCTGACACTGCCCAGACAGAATCCTGTGTTTGAATGGAATTTATGCATCATGGATGAGGTGTATGAATATGCAACAGGCTGTTGCTTTTAAGGGTTAATCCTCTGTTAATGTGGGTCCTTTTTTGGGCTCGTGCTGCCCAGAAAAAGGTACCTGGACTGTCTGTAACTCTTTGTCTCTATTGTCTCATATTGTCTTAATTCAAATTGTCCAAATTATTATTACTCTAATTGTATTACTATTTTTATAACCATTTTAT